GCCGATGCAGCACACCGTGGAGTCACCATGCCCTCTGTCTGCCCCACCCCCTTTAATATCTCTAACGCTTACCCCCTCCCTGCCCCCTCCTCTCCACGTAGCCGATGCAGCACCCCCTCCTGCCCCCTCCTCACATTGGGGATTCCACATAGCCGGTGCAGCACGCCGCGGTGTCCCCATGTGTTCCATGCCTTCTGTCCGCCCCACACCTCTTTTGTCTCCCTTCCTGGGGTCGGCGGCACTGGGCGGCAGCCCTTAAATAAAAACCATTCTTACTGTCGTTCTAAGTGGCTGTGCACGGACCGTCCCGACCATCCCGCTAGAATCTGATCCTACGAAGCTGATCCGGCCAATTAGAATCTGATCCCACACGCTGATCCCTGACGCTGATCCGGCGAAGTCGAATCTGATCCGGTAATTACCCAAGTAAAGACCAAGCCGAGCTTCTCCGTGTTCTCCTCCATCTGGGGAACCTGGTGGATACTGAAACAAAACAGTCTGGTCTGTTGTAGCAAAGCCACCTGGAAGATGTGTAGACAGTAGCACTCTGGGCGATGTGTTCCTCAGACTCCCTCCACCACTCTCAATGAATGGAAATGCAGAAGACTTACCACCACACCTGGAATCCAGAGATGCCACAAATGGAGAACCATGATATCTGTTCCGTTTGAAAAAGAGATGTTGGACCAATGCCTTCAGGAGATGTCCTTCCTTGCTCGCTCTTTCCTCAACGGCACAGCGTGTTTCGGCCTCGGCCCCTTCAGCGGCTTCGCCCGCTTCGGCCGCGGCCTTGGGCCGCGGCAGCTCGGGCGGCAACTTGAAGGGCCGATTCTGCTGGAGGAGTTGTTGGAGCAGCGCCTCCTGGGCGAAAGCGACGACATCCATGCGATGGCCTCCAACCGAATAGAGCGTCCGATCGCTCCGTTCGTAGCGATGCCAGGAGCCCCTAGTAGAGTCCTCTTGTTCCTAGTAGTAAGGCCAGGAGCCCCCTAGTCTCGTCCTTGCTCCTAATGGCGATGGCCTCCAACCTAGCATGAAGATGCACGAAGTACCTCTTGGACAAAGTTTCACCACCCGAACCCTGCGGATAGACTTGGCTTGAGTCAAGCTTGCAACGAGACTACCGCTAGTTATCAGGCGTGGCTGGCATTCCACAACTTGTTTGTCAGTCAAAACGAGGAACCTGACTGGATCCGCCATATTTCCGGAGCGATCATTACAACGGACGTCGTTCGACTTCGCCTGTTGATTCAGCTTGCGCATAACAGCCTGGTCGATCGCTGCATGGGTATCTGAAGAACTACCGAGGCTTCCCAACAGATCT